GAAAAAAAAAAAAATAAAAAGAAAGAAATAACAGAATGAATAATAACTTATGTGAAGTTTATCTTAGTGTGGAAAATAAATATTGTTTCTAATCATGTTCTAATAGTATGTTAACTAGCTAGTAGATGAAAGATATGAAAGTGTAAAAAATGTGGATTCTAATAACCTATTATTTTTAATTTTATACTAATATAAATGAGCAAACGATACGCATATCTACTACCAATGCTTAATAAAGGTTTTCATTGTTAAAAACGTATCTTTGTCAGATTGTATAGTAAAGAGAGGTTTTTGTCTCATGTTGCAGTCCCCCAAAACCCTTGTATCTTGTATATTCTTTTTCCTTATTCTCTTTTACTAACATGTGCACATGAAAGTTGGTCTCTACCTTAACCCAAAATGTTCCTGTTCACTTAATTTCTTAGTTCCACCAATCAAATTTAATTAATTTGTTGAATTAATTAAGTTACAGTTTCACATCACGTATTTATTTATTTATTTATTTTTTATTTTTGGTTACTATTACATTTTAAAAATATGATCCAACAATTAAAACGGAATGGCATTTAAACAAAAGGGATAAAACAATGTACCACGGAACAGCTTTTCTAAACATCTGGGTGTTATGACATCATGGGTACATCATCATTAACTAAATTATTAAATTGCAGTTGCAAACTGCAAGAAAGCAATTAAATTACTGAGCCATGCAAATTTAATGTTTTACTTCAGTCGTGAATGAAACCCTGGCTTATCCACTGGATTAATAATAATATATGCATATATGTAAATTCGTTCAGAACCTCTGAATTAAAATAACACACGTAAAGTACGTTGTTTTCACTTGGCCAAAACAAATAAATAAATAAAATCGCGCGCGTGTGTGTCTTCTGATTTTTTAACTCAATTTGATTATTTTTTTTTTTATTTTTTTTCAAGAGACTCTACTGGTAAATTGTAGTAATAAATAAAATAAAATAATATTTGAATGATGATAACTAATAAGAGAGAGGAAGAATTCAGAGTGTCACACATGCTGATTGTTGAGACTTATGACAATGATGGGCCTCTGACAACCTAATCGTACAACCCGAGAGCCCATATCCATCCATACAGACGCCCATTTTTACCTATATGCCCTCGCCCTCACCCCTACTACATAATTTGTTTACTCGTATTATTTTCTTTTGTTAAAATTATTCGTGGAAATTGATAACATGAGAGTATTTCTAATGGCACAATGTCTATGTTGAAATTTATGGTGTAGAGAAAGAAAATAAAAATATTTTGTCTCCAATGGTTAATAACAATTGTTGAATAATTTGATACATGTATAATAATAATTGGTTGGTAGAGATAAATATAAAATAAATAATATAATATAAAGTAGAAGATGTTTAGAAGTCTTTCTATATCTACAAAGACTTCTAGATATTTTGAATGCCACATTGGATTTTTTGGACTAGGTGGTAATGGAGGAAAGCAATCAATAGACCACTGGACATACTCTAAATGTTATCTAATACTACTATTTAGCCCGTGCGATGCACGAATCAATATATAGTCGCATGTATTAAAGCAACGAAAAAATATTGATTAATATAAAGAACAATTTGATATCAATTTTTTTTATTTTATAGTATATAATAATTTCATATGATTTATATGTTTATCTCACCCGATAAAAAATAACTGTCATTTTAGAGTTCCTATTTAGAATTGAGGATGATGAAAATCTTACATATTCAAACATTATCAAAACCAACAATTAGTTAAAAACGATTGTAATATTATAGCACTTTGAAGTTGAAAAATTTAATAATTTTTACATCATTATTATTTTATTTCATTTTTAATAGTTTATAGTGAGGTATATTGTAAGTATTTTAAATTTTCTATGTAATCTATTAATTTTTATGACAGTTCAACACCGACTCATTTATCATTATGATTAATAGTAATATACATGATAAATATTTTTTATTTTTCTAAACTAACAACTTACATCATTGTTCGATAGGTAAATTGTTGATTTATCATCATAATTTACAACAATATACACTACAATTTTTTTTCTAAGTTAATAATGTACATGGATATTCGGCATCCGTTGATTTGTCATAATAATTTGTAACAATATATATTATAAATATTCAGATTTTTTTTTTCTAAACTATTGATTTGCATGTTGATTCGACATAACTGGTTTTTAATTTTTATTTTGTCAATGTATTGCAATTTTATCATACATATTAAAACCATATTTCCTACAAACAAAACCTATTTAATATCGCTTGTTTGAAGACATGTTGTGAAAAATCATGGTATATGGTTAGTTACAAAAAGATTATAAAGATATGAATCTTTATTGTGATAATTATCACAATATCACTTTCAAATTCGATGTCATTTTATTTATATAGAAAGTGATGCTATTATCCGAATTGCACGATTTACAACATGTAGTCATGTAGGTATAATTTGTTTTTTTTTTTAAATATTAAAATAATTATTACTATATTTTCTTTAATAGTAAGTCAACTAATTTAATTATAAAGTCAAAGTTACTATTTAAAATTATTCGAACAATCTCTTTCAATATATATAGATTCAAAATATTTTGAACTGGAACTGAAAATTTCATTTAGCCGCCATTTTCTATAAAATAAAACATACTAAGAATAGTAACTTTGAAAATTTTAAGCGGAAACTTTAATACTACTTCAAGTAAATCTCTCTCTATTATATGATAATAGATTTTAACCTATATATATTAATTTTCAAGTATATGAAAAATGCTTAGTGAAATCCCTTCCGATATATTAATTCAAAATGTGTTGAGCCCAAGTGGCAGGCTCACATGCTTCGGATGCTGACATGGCAAAAATCTATGATTCGGAATGTTGTTTGTATATTAATTTTTTGCTTTGGAGTTAGACTTAGTAAAGTATAAATAACTTTTTTTCAAACTTGGTAAATATATATTTAGTTTTGTTATTTTTCTTCTCTTAGTACATATTTCTTTTTAAACTTGGACATGTAGCAATCTTATCATCTTATATTTTTTTTCT